GTCACAAATGTGTCATTTTCTGTTGTTAACAACTAGAAATTGATCTTATCTTTTATACGGTTTCAGGTTAAATGTGTTGTTTGTATGTCATACTTTTATATTTTTTATTTATACAGGTAGTCCCAATGTCACATTTACAAAAAGGACCTGTTTCTAACAAACATATTAAAATTACAACAATAAAAAACAGTAAAATAGCAATAAAATAACAAAAATAAAGATTCTTTAATGTGTACACAGTCATAGGAAAAAGTTCCCAGTGATGACTTCACAAGGTCATTTGTACTCTTTTAAAGTCTGCAAGTGAAATTAATTGAGAGAACTATAAGTCCTGTGAGATGGAGCAGAAAAGGAGAATGCCTCTCCAAGTTTCATCACTGAAACTCTGTGTAATGAAGCCCTGAGACCACACACTATGACCAAAATGTTTATGTAACATGTAATATGAAAAATAAGAGGGGAATAAACCACAAAGAGACTTTTCTTGTTTGATGTTTTGCGTGTCTGTAGATCTGAAGCAGGACATCCCAGACTGGAAGGAGTATCTGATGAAGAGGTTGGTGGGGGCCCACACTCTGCCTGTTGATTTCTACCTGAAGGTACTGCCTGATGTTATGAATTGCCCTGTATGTCATAAAGAGTGTAATGGATTAAATGAAATAGAAGTCACTGAATTAAGCACATAATCAGCAACTTTCTGTCACTCTGCCGCCCTCCCGCTTTTCTTTGTTCCAGCTTGCAGAAAGCATGAAGAACTCTTTCAGGACGGGCATGCGCGTGGAGGTGGTGGACTCCAAATACGTGAGCCGGACACGCGTGGCCATCGTGGACTCCAACATCGGTGGCCGTGTACGCCTGGTGTACGCGGACCAAAGTGACACCCCTGAGAACATCATCTCAGACTTCTGGTGTCACATATGGAGTCCCCTCCTGCATCCGATAGGCTGGTCCAAAAAAGTGGGTCATGACATCAAAGCGCCTGGTAAGAATGAAAACGGGTTCTCCACTGGAGCTGAAGATGTGGGGTACAGAACAAAAACTTGCAAAAGGGAATTAACTTTGATGTAGGAAACCAAGCAGTCAGCAGTAAAAACAGGATTAATCAACTTTAAGGGGAAAGAAATATTTGGAGACACACTCGGACTTTAGAAAAGGATACTGGACCTCAGCGTAACACTGGCAGTGTGGATCATTTTATTTGTAATCACAGTGAAAGTTTTTATGACATGAAACTGCACAGATATTGAACTAAGTACATGATTTTAAAGATTTCTGTTTTCTGAAATGTAACATGTACTGTGCTGGTGATAGAAGATTACTTTGCTTTTTCCTCTTAGATTTGTTGTAGATTAAAATATGAAACCTTCTTATTTTTATAGCAAACAATCTGGAGTCTTCCAGTGGTCTGAGGGGCAATTCTGACAGTACGTTCATGCTCTTTAAAAAGGTAAGGAAGTATATGAACACTGACGTAAGTCATAGTCGAGTGTACTATAAGGTTAGCAGTAAATCTGCACTTGATTGTGGTGTAGTTTAGAAAATCATAGGATTCATTAAATGTATTTATTTTTTATTTCTCCATGTTTTACCCCCAAAGTCCAAAAGCTGCAGATTGTTTGAGTCAGAACTCAAAAATAGCTGAAGTAATCATCGTCGTTACTAAGCTTATGCTCATTTCAGTTCAAGTTTAAGCTTTACCTCTTCACTGTTTCACATGAATGTAATGTATTGTCCTCAGCCGAGGTTCACCTACATGGAGGGAACTTTCTTTGAAGAAGGAATGAAGCTGGAGGCCATTGACCCGCTCAACTTGGGAAGTATCTGTGTGGCCACAGTACACAAGGTGAGGTAGCTGTTGTTGACTTTATGTGTTTGGGATTCATCATCTGTCACCTAGGTTTGGTGTTTCCCAGAGATTTAGATGCCCTTGTAACTGTAACAGCTCATAAATGAGCTAATGGCAGGGGTATCTTCTGTAAACTCAGCAGTATAATCAGCTGCTTCTTTAGTGGGTCTCTCATCATGTGGATTAACTCCTTCATACGTGCACTGTGTTTATACAGCGCTTTGCATTTAATTATTAATCTTGCTTTCTTCCACAGCGTGTCTTCTTTCCTGATAGTTGGGGTTTTCTCTGTATTATTTTAGGGTCTTTACCATAAAATAGAAAGCGCCTTGATAGAGGACTGTTTGAATTGATTTCATCTTGTTCTGCAGCTGGTACTTCTTGCTGAAGCCTTGTTGTGCTCAGCATAGCGTTACAAAAGCCAGTTCTCCACCCGCTGCAGGTTCTTGTTGGTGTGTTCCTCCACCTAACAGGTGGATTGTAGAGATTGTATCTCTACCGCTGGTTTTCCTCTCTCTGACTCTACTCCTCTTTTTTCCCCCAGGTGCTGTTTGATGGGTACCTGATGGTGGGCATTGATGGCACCATATCAAACAATGGCTCAGACTGGTTTTGTTACCATGCTTCCTCTCACGCCATTCTTCCAATTAACTTCTGTAAAAAGAACAATATCCCTCTCACTGTACCCCCAGGTATGTTTTTTCTGTTTCTTAGTTTGCAGGTTAACTTGTCTGCTGGTGCTGAAATGCTTCACCATATATTTCCTGCCGCTTTATGCATTTCCTGGCAGGTTACGATGCTCAGACCTTCACCTGGGAAAAGTACCTGGAGGAGACCAAAGCAAAAGCTGCGCCCGTGAGACTGTTCAATGCTGTAAGATGTTGTAGGATGACCTTGCTATCACATGTTTTATAAGTTGAATTAATAGGACAGGATGGCTTCTTTTCAAATGTATCTATTGATGTAAAAACACTAATAAATATGACACTTCTTTCAGGACTACCCAGGTCACGGCTTCTCCCCCAACATGAAGCTGGAGGCCGTGGACCTGATGGAGCCACGGCTCCTGTGCGTCGCCACCGTGAAGCGCTGTGTCGGCCGCCTTCTCCTCATCCACTTTGACGGCTGGGAGGATGAGTTTGACCAGTGGGTTGACCACCAGTCTCCAGACATCTACCCAGTTGGCTGGTGTGAGCTCATGGGCTACCAGCTCCAGTCACCTCCTGGAGTCGGTAAATACAGCGGACTGTAACACTGTGTTTTGAATCAACATGTAGAGCACTGAAGTGATGTGGGTTAATGCAGGAGTACCGAGGCGTTCTGATTAAAGGGGATTAATGGCCAAGGTTTCAATAGATAAGGTCAGAGTATGATGAGGTAATCCCCATGAGCCAAAAGCTTGGCTTGAGACGCCTCTAAATGCTGCATTTCAGTTTTTTTCTCATCTTGGATCTGTGTGATGTCACACAGAAAGCACATATCCTCGACACATCTGCGCCAAAGCTATTTTGGGCTATGAATAACGCTAACTCCTCTAGTGGTGTACAACAACAATAGTCTGAAAATCTGGAAATTAGCGTAAAAGGCGCTCTTTAAGCGCATTTACACTTCAATTTTGATTATAAATACAGCAACAGTTCACTACACTCACTAAGCTCCAGCCTTAAACTGTCACAGACAGAAGTGACTGGTTGATGAGTGATGCATAGATGTTTCTGAGCGTGAAACAAAGTGACTGGTGTTTCATTCTGTTTTCTAGCTGACTTAATTGAAAAGCAGCTGGTGCGGAACAAGAAATGCCGGCGCTTTTCTTTCGGGAGAAAGAGTAGGTTTTATTCAGAAAAGTATATGTAGTCTTGTATCGGTAATGTCTTACTTGACACAGGAGAATGATCTCCTTTTCTTTGCTTTTTGTAGAAAAGAAGCACACAAAAAAGAGGCTTTCTCAGGACCAAGCTCAAGACGGTGCTGATCAACACACCGAAAGTCCTCAAAGCACTCCTCCAAAAGTGCCACTCATCCAGCCCAAGACTGAGCCAGAGGAGCAGGAGAGTAAGAGACAATTCTCAAATGAGTCACTTTTTCCTCATTTGCATGCTAGTTACCCATTTTGGTAAATTTGCTGACTTACTTGTCTTAATAGTCGTTGCAGTCAAGGTGAAAGTGGAGGAAATGGAAACGGAGACCCCCATTAGGCCACCGGACAACTTTCAGCAAGACTCTGTGTGCATAATCAAACAAGAAGAGGGAGGGCAAAGCAGCTTGGATAATGTAGAACAGGAGAAGACGGAGCAAAGTAAAACTAAAGATGTGGCTGAAGACGATGCATCACTTGAAGACCGGTGTACCGGTGATAGCAACACTGATCAGAGTGAAAATGAAAGAATGGACAAAGAGGAGTTGAGCCAAGAAGACGACAGTACCATGGATGAATCATAGAGAATAAAAGAACCAATATAGCTGAATCACTCCAATGAAAAAAGAATTAAACAAATAAATAAAAAGACTTTATCAAAAAGATTTTGACTCTGAAAGTCTTCCTGGGTTGTAATGAAGTTTGTTTTTAATGTTTTATATCCAGATAGATCCTTTTGTAAATATACAGTCAATTGCAGTATTTTTATAAACATATTACCTAAATGTGATTTGATGATTTTCAACTTTGAGTATGTTGTGAGCCTACAGTGAAGGTTAACTACCCTCAACTGCAGGCTCGGTAAAGCAATGCTTTATTCTTTTTTTCTTATTTTCCATCATACATGTACTATTAAATATAAAAGGCCAAAACAACAATCGGGTACATTCCTAAAAACAATGTCTTTACCGGCCAGCTCAGCAACACAGAAAGATACCTGAAGGAGAATTGGAGAATTCTTTCACTGGTTAGGAAAAACTACTTCATAACATCCAACCTAGCCAAGAATCCTTCTACCATCAACAGATATCCTCAGGAATAAAAATACAAAATGCTGTCCAAATAATTTGTCAAAAGCAAGAACAGATTAGACCAGGGGTGGGGAACTCCAGGCCTCGAGGGCCGATGTCCTGCAGGTTTTAGATCTCACCCTGGGGCAACACACCTGAATCAAATAATTAGTTCATGACCAGGCCTCTGGAGAACTTCAAGACACATTGAGGAGGTAATTTAGCCATTTGAATCAGCTGTCTTGGATCAAGGATACATCTAAAACCTGCAGGACACCGGCTTTCAAGGCCTGGAGTTTGACACCCCTGGATTAGACTGCTGGAGAAGAGTGCATATGCATAATATGACAGATTAACTTGTACCAGAATGATAGGAAGGGAAGAGTATGGAGAATTAGAGAAATAGCTCATGATCTGAAGAATACATCCTGTGTCAAACATGGTGGAGGCAGTGTGATGGTATGGGCATGGACGTGGCTGCCAGTGGAAACCAGGCAGCGGTCGCTAGTGTTTATTGATGACGTGACCACTGACAGAAGTAGGAGAATGATATGTGGAGTATACAGGCCCATACTCTGTTCAGAATCAGCCAAATGCTACATATATTCATCCAAGTACTAAAAACAATCCTTATATTAAAAATGATGTTAGTTTGTCCAGTTAATTTTTACAATTTTAACATAAACTCCTTAAATCAAAGTTTAAATCTTAATTGCTTGATTGAAAATGTACTGTGGCAAAACTACTAGTACTGTGCAAATACCTGACTGTAGCACTTTTAAGGTGATAAAAGTTAAAGCCCAATGTGATATAGCTTACTAATGCAACCGTACAAAGAATTTATACTGTTGTTCAACATTGTGCTACGACGGCAAGAATGATTAGTGTGAAAAAAGCCCGACTCCTGCAGCTGGGACCGTTCAGTTCAGTGTTTAACCTCAAAGCTTTGGTTCTGCGCTGTGCTGATGTTTGCATTGAAGCCCTGACTTTAAAACGTCAGCACAGAACGCCAGAATGGATGCAACGCCGAAAGGCGGGAGTTTCAGGGCATGCTGTGTCTCTTTGTGCTTTCAGCTGCTTTCTTTGCTGCACCCTGTTTTGTGTTTGGACTCCCTCGAATTTTGGATTTGACCTTGAGCATCTTGACCTGCCGATGGCCGCTGAGGTGCATCGGTTTGGGTTTGGTTGCCTTGGGGGCCTTTGCTGGCTTTGAGGTGACAGCAGGGGCAGAGGGAAGACTCTCTCCACCAGGGCAGGCCTTGAACCCGTGGACATCCTTGACCCTCCGACCCCGCAATTCAGGTGGATTGGCACAGGTGGCTCGCACCTTCAGGTTAACTTTCTCAATCCACCTAGATAAAAAGAAAAAATCCAAATTAGTTACTATTGTTAGTTATTTAATGTTATTGAGCCAAACGGTATAATATGTGAACCTTAGAGCTAATCTTAACAGATACAGATGCGTCTTTGGAAATGGTTTTGTTCCCATAATGACCAACATTCACACATTTTCGCATACTAGAATCTCTCAAACCCCAGTCCTATTTAACTACATTATTGACTTGCAGCTGTCTTACATGCGCAGTGGCAGTAGGGGGCAGTCACACATTAGAGGATTGTCAGCGAGATTGATGACTTCCAAAGCGGTGAGTGGGTGGAAGTCAGGGACCTCCTCCAGCTGGTTGCCCTCCAAGAAAAGACTCCTCAACCCAGGACCCAGTCCTGCCAGGGCGCTCTGCGACATCTGCAGCAAAAGCAATCACATCGGTTTGAAAAAAAATCTACATTACATATGAAAACGTTTGTAGAGTGCACAAAGCCCGCTCACCTTCTCCAGTCCCATGTTATTGAGGTACAGCTCTTTAAGTGACCTCCCCAGAGGTTTGAAAGCATTCGATCCGATCCAACGAATTGAATTTCCGGACAGCCTGAGGTCTCGGAGATTCCCAGCCTTGCTCAGTGCCTCAGTGGGCACCTCCTTGAGCTTATTTCCTCCCAGGTGAAGCATGTCCAAGTCATTTGCCTGGTAAAGAGCCCTGGGCGACACATGCACAATGGCATTCCCGGTGAGATAGAGAGCTCTCAAACCCTCAGCCCCCGTCATGATACCTGGCTCCAGCTTAGTGATAGAGTTGTTCTCCAGATGAAGTGCAAGCAGACTGGGCACCAGTTTGAAGACACCTTTGGGGAAACTGGTAAAGCGGTTCTTTTCCAAATGGAGGTAAGTCAGCTTAGGGAGACCTTAAAGAAAAAAAGCAAGTGAGTTTGGATCTTGTCTGACCATCTACTCTAAATGTAGCGTTGCCAGTGAAAGACCTTTGAAGGCATCTGGGCTCAGGGAGGTAAGCTCATTCTCAGACAGGTACAGGTATATCAGTCCCTTCATCCCGCTGAAAGCCCCTCCCTCTACATCCACAATTTTGCAGCGCTGCAGGTGCAAGGACACGACCTGGGCGACACCGGGGAAGCTGTTGCTGGGAATGTAGTGGAAGTTGTTGCCACGCAGGTCCAGGAGACGTGTGCTGGCAGAGAAACCGCGAGGCACTTTAGTGTGACCACGGTTCTCACATGAAGAGTGGTGTGTCTCTGCCTGTAGACAGGTAGGTAAAGGAAATGTAGAGCTCACCAGCACTTCAACCTTGCACTTCCCTCTCCTGACGCTATGAAAGTGTGTTTGTATGAAACTGTCCAGCTTCTTAAATTAATATAAAAAGATTAACTACAATCAGAACAGTAACTTGGATTTTAAAAGTGTTGTTTCTTTACTCCTGATCAAATACGAAACTCTTAAGAGTTAGAAGGACCGATTCATTCTGATGTGTGTTAAATTTGAAGCTTCAGCCAGCAAAGAACCATCTTAGCTTAAATTAATAGCCAAAGTAAAATTTTATTTTATTTCTCACTTACACCGGGACAGATATGACTGGAAAGAAACATGAGAGAAGAGAGGGAAAGAAAAACAGCGGTGGAAAGGAACGGTGATAAAGGGCAAAAAAAACAACAAAATCAAACAGACAAAAAAATACATCTATCAATCACCTGGATCACCTGTTGAGAAAGAAAAAAGAGAAAACAAGCAAAAAAAAAAAAGAGACTCGATATAATAAACAACATCATCGCGATGAATCGTAAGTGAATATAACAGTAAATACTAAATATTGAAATTATTGTGCAGCACATAAGATCGACAGCGCACAGTGTGATTTCGAGGTAGGAGCCAAAAAGGGTGTAGTTTGTGTGTGTGAGCACCCGTGACCAGACAGGTCAGGGATAAAGTTATTCGAGAAATTTAAAGCAGGCTTAGGCTACAAAAAGATTTCCCAAGCCTTGAACATCCCACGAGAGCACTGTTCAAGCCATCATTCAGAAATGGAAGGAGTAGGCACAACTGTAAACCTACCAGACAAGGCCGTCCACCTAAACTCACAGGCCGAACAAGGAGAGCGCTGATCAGAAATGCAGCCAAGAGGCCCATGGTGACTCTGGACGAGCTGCAGAGATCTACAGCTCAGGTGGGGGAATCTGTCCATAGGACAACTATTAGTCGTGCACTGCACAAAGTTGGCCTTTATGGAAGAGTGGCAAGAAGAAAGCCATTGTTAACAGAAAACCATAAGAAGTCCCGTTTGCAGTTTGCCACAAGCCATGTGGGGGACACAGCAAACATGTGGAAGAAGGTGCTCTGGTCAGATGAGACCAAAATGGAACTTTTTGGCCAAAATGCAAAACGCTATGTGTGGCAGAAAACTAACACTGCACATCACTCTGAACACACCATCCCCACTGTCAAATATGGTGGTGGCAGCATCATGCTCTGGGGGTGCTTCTCTTCAGCAGGGACAGGGAAGCTGGTCAGAGTTGATGGGAAGATGGATGGAGCCAAATACAGGGCAATTTGAAAAACGAGTCGCAATTAGATGGCGAGGTACCTCCACAGACTGTGAAGGCCGCAATCCACTAAATCCATCGAAATTGGGCAAGATCTGAAAACTGCTGTTCACAAACGCTGTCCATCTAATCTGACTGAGCTGGAGCTGTTTTGCAAAGAAGAATGGGCAAAGATTTCAGTCTCGTAGATGTGCAAAGCTGGTAGAGACAGACCCTAAAAGACTGGCAGCTGTGAACTGCAGCAAAAGGTGGTTCTACAAAGTATTGACTCAGGGGGCTGAATAATTACGCACACCCCACTTTGCAGTTATTTATTTGTAAAAAATGTTTGGAATCATGTATGATTTTCGTTCCACTTCTCACGTGTACACCACTTTGTGTTGGTCTTTCACGTGGAATTCCAATAAAATTGATTCATGTTTGTGGCTGTAATGTGACAAAATGTGGAAAAGTTCAAGAGGGGCCGAATACTTTTGCAAGCCACTGTATATCTCCCCCACCTGCAGAGTGAGTTCCTGGAGAGAGGAGACCTCCTGCAAAAAGCCCTTTTTCAATCAATGAACTTGAGGGCTGTTAACTGGTAGATTAAAAACACAAACATGGGAAAAAAGGCAAATCAAACGCTAGTTTTACAGACTTAAAGGTGGCATTGATTTTCTAACCTAATCAAGAATCCAGCTATTTCTCAATGTGTTCAACTACATCCTACTATCATTGGCAAATGCAGGTAAAGAGGTTAAAGTCAGCGTGGAAAATATGGTAGGCATTAAATGAAATATAAATATACAAAAAAGTAGTGACACTCACCTCACAGACACAGTTGGCAGGACACTTGACCTTGTTCGGTTCTTCAGTGGGTCGTGGCATGATCCTGGCTGCTTCTTCCTCTTTTATGATGTCTTCCTGACTCTGGCATCTCAGCTCAGAAGGGTGGACAGCATCCAGGCTGTCACCTGAAAGATGGGATGGCCCTCCACAAGTTCCCATCAGCTTCACTTTGTTATGGATAGCCCACTCTCTGCAGAATTGGGGGGAAAAGAAAAGAAGAACAAAGTGCTGATCACTTCTCTGAGGTTTCCTGAAGCTGTCAGGACAAGAGCAACAAAAACCCGCCGTACCTGAGTGGACGCAGGTAACAGTTGCAGAGGATTGGATTCCCGGCCAGGTTTAGACGGGACAGCTTTGGCGAGCCTTCGGTGAAGGGCTGGATGACACGCAGCTGGTTATTGCTGATGTCCAGGTGGATGAGGTTGGGGGATTTTGAAACAGCTGTGTTCACCAGGTCCTGCAGGGACATGTGGTCCAGGAAAAGGTGGGTCAGCTTGGGCATGGACACAGCCTCCTCCCCCAGGTACGTCATGGGGTTGTAGCTGAGATCGAGACGAGTCACCTCAGGCAGCCTGGATGCAGAAAAGAACAAGGCAGGAATAAGAACAATGATTATTACTCTTATTACTCTTTGTCAATGACTTTCTGTCCATTGTATTGAAGTTTGGTCAGACAAGGGACTATACTGTCTGTGAGAGAGGGATTTGACAAAACATGGAATCCCTTTTGTTCTTTCTACTGATCAATATCACACAACTTATCACTTTATTTAAAACCTAAGAATTTTCTATTTTCTTCTCTATCTAGAAATAGGAGAGCCTAATTAAAAAAAACTTAAATTGCAATATGAACCAGCTTAACTTATAAATGTTAATAGATAGCACATAAATGATGGATAGACCCTGTTATACTGAAGAGTGAACCCACTAGGCTTCACCTTTGAGGCCTAACAACCTGAAATCTGCATCCTTTGTAATGGCCAGCAGGGGGAGACTCTACATATCTCTCCCTAAAAACGCTTTCCTAATGATTGAACGGTCTGCACTGCAGAAGATAATATTAATTTATACATAATGGTCAAACAGTTAAAGAAACAAAACAAACAAATTAAAATAACTTAGTAAAAGTAACTGATAAATTAATGGCTACTGGTATGGATAAGCAGCTTAACGTTCTGTAAACATGATGTCATTAACAGAACAGCAAAAACATAACAGGTAATCAGTTGAACTTGTTATCTAAAGCAAAGGAATTGACTACTTTATTGATCCAAAGCTTAAACCTAACAAACAGTAACCTTCAGGGGAACGTTTCCCAAAAAGCCCCTAAAAGTTACAATTTGGAGGCGGGTCCAAGAATGTCCGCTCAAGGCGGTGCATAACTATTAGCTTACCATTTAAAAAAAGTAAGTTAATTGTTATGTACAACTGAAACAGTTAGCTAACACAAATCAAGGAATGGGAGTTAATTAGAACTCACGAACACAGAATCTGTTGAAGAGTGAAGGAAAGCGCTTTTTTGACTCTGACTAGACTATCGGGGAACATTGGATAAAGAATGGGAACCATTGCTTTAGGGTGTGGCCACCTTGTGACTGACAACTCATGCGGTGTCCTAACTTTTTCAGTCAGTTCAACCTATTGATCGTCACATCCAGTAGAAACAAACCTACGTTGCAATGCCTAAAATATCAAATGTTGAGGCCCACTGTGATTCACAGTGGCTATGTCCATCACATGTGTGAATGTGTATGTGAATGGGTGGATGACTGGATATGTAAAGCGCTTTGGGGTCCTTAGGGACTAGTA